GGTTAGGTGCGGTTACCAAATTTTTTTCCTTCACACCAAGGAAAAACAAATAATGATATACAAAGAAATTAAATTGGAAAACTTCTAAGAAATATTATCATCCACATCAGATCATTTTGCAAGTTTGTCTGCTTCCTCCTGTTCTTTCTTCAACTTTCCCTCCATCACTATGTTTCTCTTCTTCTGTTACTTTTTTCAATATATATGAATCTTTAGCTATTAAATGACAATACGAATTAATGATCCTATTAAACATCTAAGATCAAATAAAGAAGAAGATAAAGCATTAGAAATAGACTAAAAAGCCACCTCATAGTTTGTGTCAGACACCTTCGAAAAATTCACATTAATTCTTTACAAAAACCTCATATTGACAATAACTATTGATGTGAAAAGGTAAAACTTCAAATTCATCCTTAAAAAAAATTGATAGGGATAAATTCACCCCTCACAAAAATACAAGGATAAATTATCCCTCTAAATTATAAATCAAGATAAATCATCCATTTTTTTAACAAAAAACATCATAATTTTGTTTGCCACATCAGAATTTTATTTGCTACATCAGCATTTTTTAATGGACAACGTTAAAAAATGAGTGATTTATCTTGATTTACAATTTGAAAAAACAATTTATTCCTGCATTTTTGTGAGGTGTAGATATATTCCTATTAATCTTTTTTAAGGATAGATTTGAAAATTTTACCATGGGAAAAATCTAAAATATGATATTTATTTACTACTTCTGCTATCTAAGAGATCCAGAGAATGGATCCCAGACAAATCTAATTAATCAACCACATTTAAGTTTCAAAATTTCCATTATATATTAGCATGGATCAATAGAGCCTATAGCATTCAAACCACAGAAACAACAAATAGAAACCAAGAATAAAAATAAAAGAGAAAACCTTACTTGCCACACATGGATACCACTAAATTGTCACTACTTCAACTTGAAAATCAAAAAGAAAAAAAGAAAAAAAAATGAAAAATGATTACCCACAAAACTAAAAGGAAAATGTTAATGGATAACTCATTGAGATAGAAAAAGGGAAAGAACCACAAAAACCTCTACACCACTATACAGAATCCGAAAGCAAGAAGGAGATTTAGAGTCTTAGGCCACAAACACAAATTTAGAGCATGAAAATAAAAAGATGACAAAATTCAAGAAAAGAAAAACTTGATAATCATATATCACCCTCTGCCAACCAAGAACAGAAAAAAAGAAGGGTTGATAAAAACGAACATCATTAAAATGACGAAAGAGGGAAAAAAAAAAACTAAAAATATTGAAAATTGAACTGCATTTGTGAACCCCATAATTTCAAATAGTTATAGAACACAAGATGGATAAATAAGAATATCAACACAAAAGAATTACCAAAGTATAGATATAAAATTTAAACTAATTTTCAAATATTCATAATATAAACGACACTAATTATTAAGAATTCTGACAACCTCAAGCAGTCCACTAATGCTTTGAAGTTTCTGCATATGATCATAGCAATGGCTTCCGGATTGAGAGCATTTGTTGCCTCAGATAGCGCACCTTTCCCCTGTATTACCTCCCCTTTCGAGTTCCTGATGACCACACCCCATAAGCTGCGCGCTGTCCCTGTGGCCTCATCAAAAGCACCATCCACGTTAACCTTAACATAATCTGGTCGAGGTGGGGACCTTTGTTTCTCAGCTTCCACTCTTCCCATAGCACCCACAGTCATTCCATTCTTCTGTTTCAGAGACATGTACTCCTTGAAAGCACTTTGAGTTGCCAAATAAGGGCCCAGCAGGTTCAGTTGCTTCCTGTTGACGTACACAAAAGATGTGTATTTAATGTTGGGAAATGTGGCTATAGGAGGCAATGAGTAGTGGCTTTTTTTTTTTCTTTTTTTTTTTCTTATCTTGGTTGTATAACGAAAAGCAATCACCTTTATCTTTTATTCCACCTAACTTGCATGTCATATGATTAAATTCAGGATTTTTTATTTTTAACGGAAAAAGCTAACTATTAAGTTATTTAGGTCATTGACAACAAGTAGTGGTTTTTAAAACGTCAATATACACTATTTTAGGGTGATATTTTTCCTCACTCAAGGTAGTTTATTGTTGGTTAAATGATGTTATTTTTAGTAAATACTCTCAGGCTTGGTTTCATAATACTTTTTTATACTTTAATTTTTAGTTTTTATATTTATTATTTTAAAAATATATAAAATATTAATTAAAATAAATATAAAATATATAAAATATATTTTATATATTTTTAAATGTTAAAAATCAAAATATCAACAATTATAATTACATGTTAGCACTGACAAATTAAGTCTATGGAATACAATAAAGTCACCCAAAATTAGCAAAAAATAATTACAAAGGTTTGCTTTCGAAACTTCACTTTTAGGTTGTGTCGTTGTTATTTATTTATTTATTTATTTATTTATTTTCAATGAGACATATCAATTACCAAATAGTTGAAATCCTTGTGAGAAAAAGAGTGTGGAGGGAGAATGAGGGTTTAAACCCTAATTATACAAGAGTAAAAGTAAATTTTTATAAATAATTTAATTACACATGTAAAAGTAAATTTTTATAAATAATTTGATTATTACTTTCCCATCCTTCCTTGAAAAATGTATATTTAATTTCTAGATAAAAAGTAAAATAACATTATAAAAAGTGAAATCAGTACATGAATCTAATGATTCATCATCAAACCTAACAACTTGAAATTAAGTAATTAAGGATTTTATTCCCACCAATAACTTAAGAAAAATTCTCTTTTTCCTCAAATTTTTTCCTTTTTAAAAAAAAATTATAAAAAGTGAGTAATTTAACTTCAGTTCAAAATAAAAAATTATAAAAAGTGAGTAAGATTGAATGAGATTAATATTCCTTCTAAATGATCACACATATTTATAAGGGTGTGAAACGCGAAGCTGCCCCCTTTCAGGTCAAATGGTTCTAATCACCTTTATAAGGTTCATATCCTTTCTTTCGAACCTATCCATGACAAAAATATTCAAAAAAAAAAAAAAAAGAGCTGTGAAACGCACCGGTCGGCCTTTTCTTTTTTTCGGTTTCCCGTCCGGTATCCGAGGCTTCGCCCCAACTAATCCGGACCCGACCCGCGTCGCGCACCTGGAAATGGTGGGTGAGTCTCCCAGCGAGAACTGCTGCATTCACAAGGACTCGAACTCGAGACCTTGCTTAAGCTGGAACAAGCCGCTTACCACTTGATCCAACCCCTCGTTGGTGGCCTTTTCAACTCATCATTTCTTGAAAAGACACATCTTTTCTTTGCCCAACGTATATAACTCTTTAAATAACATGTTTTCATGAAAATACTTGACCTTTTATATTTCAAATGTCATATTGTTTAATTATCTAAAGCACACAACTTAATTGCACCATTTGTACAAAAAATGTTTTTCTTCACTGAAATTGTAATAAAAAAACCAAGTCAAATATCAATATTATCAAGCATACATGAAGGTATCTTTCGTTTTAAACCGTCATTTAGTGTAACTACTTCGAAGTTCTAACTAAATCAAAAGTAGCATAACTTAAACCTTAATTTGTTAATCCTAGGATCAGAAATACCACACACATGGTTCTATCCGGTCCCAGTGGGAAGCTCACCAAATAAACAAGCACGTCTATGGGCATGTGAGCTCTCCCCTGGTTTTCATGAACACTTACAATCCAGGGTAATTTACACAAAAAATTCCAGACACATTAGATTATCACATGATTATGTCAAATTTATTAGATTGTATAATTGTCACAATATCTGTTAGCTGGTGCAACAATCTGACTAACTCATTCACAAAGGAATTTGAGATACATGGTTAAATTGATGTCAATTGAAAATAGGAAATGGACCTGAAACCTTGTTGTCATTATAGTCAGCGATGACATGCAGAAACCCAACCTTTATTTAGTAAACCACTATCTTAAAGGTTTAATAGGTAATAACAAGCATTCCTCTGTTGTGGCCCAGTGGTATCACC